TATATATATATACAAGTAATTCTTAACCAAACGAATGCCTAAACTACTTACCATTGCTTGAGGCTAATAGCCTCGGGTGTTGGTGGATTGATAAGAATTGAACTTGCTGCTCTTGTAGACAATGAAAGGCCTATTTATGATCAACAACAACAAAGGGTTTAGCAGTGTTTCAACCATAAGTGCTGAAATACATGTGTTTAAATTTACCATGAAATGTTGTAACTTTAACCCACATAGCTAGAACAATATTGCCTGCATTAATTGTGTTAGCTTGCTTCGAGCCTTCATCCTCAGCATAATCATTCCATAGAGTAAGTATCATTGGAACCCTCCTACATAACACACACTTTTGTTAAGGCATGACTACACTTTTGATCAAATAACAAAGGCCGGAAAATGTAAGCTTACTCATTATTGACCAACACAATGTCCCTATTCACAGAGTCTAAGCCAATTTGCTTCACCTCAAATGCGTGTACCACCACACCTTGAATGTCTGTATAGCAAAATATTTAGAAAATACATGCAGCACAAATATGCAAAACAATGGTAAGTCTGAGAGCAATATGTAATACTAAATTTCATTTTCTAACTTTATTTATTTCAGTTGACCAAGATGACATACTCTGCAAGTCTTCCATGTCGACAAACCGGTGTAGATCAGCAAACCTTTGGCACTCTATGTGGCAAAAGAGTTGGTCAGCAGCTTCATCCTCACAGGGTTGAATCAATGTGTTATTATTGATCGTCCATGTGAATGGATAAGGGCCCTTTTTGTACCTATCATCTGCCTTCTTCAGTGTAGCCCCAGATACATAGTACTTCTTGAATGGCAGCAAAAGTGTTGAAGATGCCCTGATATTATTGTTATATGCAACTGCGGATACTTTTGTCCCCTACAAAAGTAACATATTTTGGTGGCAATTAATTAAAAAGAATGTACAACATTGAATGCCCACAAAAAGAAGTCTGAAATAACATGTTGGATAATTTGGCTTACATCAGAGTCTGCAAATACAAAATGACGATATGAGATGGCGGTGTCTCTTTGACTGACCAATATCTTGCCCCTCTCGACAACTTGAATCAACGTTGTCCACCCACGAGCATTTTCTTTAATCTGGGCAACTGGAATTGTGTTCTTCATTGTCACCTAACAATAGGAAATGTGAAGTGATCAATATATATTTGCATAAACAGTTAATATTCAATAGAAATAAGTAGCATCTTTAGTTTGCTCCAAAGCAACATCCAAACTATCGCCCTTTTTTTTTTAAAGAAGATGGGTTAGTTTTTATGTTTCTTACTCTACAGGCTTACAAAGGATGATTCCACAAATAACATACATTTGTTTGTATTTGTTTGGAAGTGGGTTTGTGTAAGTGGATGAGTATGACCGATGAGTATATATAGCGAGAAAAATGAAAAGCAAGTATGTGTATAATTATTTAAAAAACTGCAAAAGTAACTAAAGTACACTACAACCATACCTTGAAAGATTCAACTTTCTGCACCCACCATACCTAGATCTAAATCAATTTTGGAAAAAGGAAAAAAGAATCGTACTAAGGTTGTAGTCAGTGAGGCCCATTGCTTGAGCAGTGCTACTACCGTGTGCCTTGGCACACCTAGCAAGGTGTGCCAAGACAGTTTAAAATGAACATGTTACTGTATAAAATGAATATGTGTAAACATGTTTACACATGTTCATTTTATAAAGTAACATGTTCATTTTAAAAAAGTTTTGGCACACCTTGCTAGGTGTGCCAAGGGACACCTAAGTATTTGCGTTGCTTGAGTGCATCCTGAAAAGCTTTGAAATGATTACAAAGTGTCTCAGTAAAGTGGGTCGCGTGCAGATCTTAAAATTAGGGTGCAAGAAATCGCCAACTCCACGCACATCTTCTGAAATAATGAAAAGATATGTTAACATGAAATTTAGGGTGCAAGAAATCCTTCTTTGTGGAGAATTTAAACTATTAGGTAGATCTGTTCTACTGTGTAAGAATCAAAAACATGAAATTTAAATCCCTAAATGATTGGAATATCTTACCAAACATAAAAATAAAATATAACATTCAAATTGTAAAATAAGTAAACATAAAGAAAAGATATGTTTTCACTAAACTCATCAAAATTCACAATTCAACTCCTCATTTAAATAATTTTTAATGACTACTTAGTCACATTGTAATATCGATATGTTTTAAACAAAAAAATCATCAATATTTTATCATATAAAATATTGAATTTCATTTTAAAGATTTTATATCAATTTAATTAAAAGCTATAATCAGTAAAAGAAAGTGAGATGTTTTTTAGTTTTAAAAATATTTCTTGCCGTTTAAAAAAATATGAAAGTACATATAACGAAAGCAAACAAAAAATATACTAATAAACACAAACATGATCTTACAATTTAGTTATTAGTTTCTTATTTTCGTTTTGATATATTATGAGATGTTTTTTATGTTTACACTCGGTACGAATATTTGTGAACTCTAAAGCACCATTCAAATTATTTATTCTCCTTCACTCCTTGCTAAGAAAGTGAAATAGTAAATTGTTATTTTTCAGCTTGACTGATTTCGGCTTGTTTTGGAACGACACCGAAATTTCCAAGTACATGGGCACCCCCATTGTGGGTAGTTTGAAAACTGAAAAATTATCATTGATTGTTTAGGACACGATTGAATATGAACTCTAGTATTATTCGATTGTTTTTTTGTTTATTAACGGTAAATTTTTAAAACGTAGTATGGTTAATTGTCAAGGAAAACTTTAAATAAAAAAAATAAAATCCCGTATTTCAAATACTTCGTACACTGGCTAATAAATTATTGGGTGATCTTTTAATGATTTTAAAAAAAATAAGTAAAATTTGATTTAAGGTAAAAATTAGTAGAAAATTTATTGAAAGTTATGTTTAAGCTTGAGATTTGTTTGCACCCATATTGCTGAACTGACAAGAAAGGAAAGAGAGCTCTCATCAAAGTGGCGCTAGGAAAAAAACATCCATGAAAGAAGTCACGCATGTCAATATATACATAAACTGCATCTTATAGAATATATCAGAGAGGTTAAACGAACAACTCAATTATAATATTATCCTTTATTTCAAAAGATAGTTTATGTTTCTAGATATATATCTGTGAAGGGCTTAAAATTTGGGCACACGTACTCAAATATACTTTTTTCTTCTAAGTGAAATTTATGCTTCTAAGTACATTGAGTAGGTTAATTGTAACAAGACACTGGACTCAATTTACAAAATTGTTCAACGCTCTTTAGAAGCCAAAAACGAAAACAAACTTGCATTTTATACAACTGGCCATTTAGTTAAAAAGCAACTATAACAGATTTCTAATGTAATTTATATTGTAATATTTTCAGCTTCTTGTGTTGTTAAGTTATATGTTTAATATTTCATTGTGCGAGCTAATAATCAAATGGTGCCTTTAAAAATACGCACCTACATTTTAAACCCCAAGAATAATAATACTGAAGATTACAAATGTTAATATAGTAGAACTCAAAGAACAATATTTATGGGTTTAAATATCATCCAATTGCACTCAAAAGAACCACAACCTAAATCACTGCCCAAACCACACTCGCAAAAGTTGAACTGGCAAAGTTTACTATAAGATAAAAGGACTGAAGTTCTAATAATTCACCCCACTATGCAAAACAACACGTCAACGGTTAATGTACTCTAAAATACACAATATTTACATCCAACACAACACCAAAGTTTATGTTATGTCCCAGTTTGACCATCATGACTGTGAGGAAGAATTTTCACTGGGTTGGTGTCCACACTGAGCGAACAAATCACAAGACCAATCATGGTTTCCATGTATAATTTACAAAACAAAGATGCAATTGTCATGAATGAACCAAACTTATTAATGCAGTGCATAACAGAACTCCCTGAAAAGATCGTCAGAACAGCAGCCTAAGTTTGTACAAAATACTAATAAGTTAGTTTCCAAATCAGCACTTCAGTGAAATACACATGTTCCAGCAGGAGAACAACTTTAAAGAATGAGACCTTTCACAATAATAATTGTATTTCAATCCGCGCATAAACAATTAACACTAACATTGTGCACAACTAACCTGAACTTCTATGCCTTAAACAATTTCAGCTGCCTGCAAAACTTCTGTGTAAACAATATTTCTTGTGTAATTCCGCCAATGTTCATTGCAGAAGTTTTAGCGCGTGACATTGCAACATAAAGTTGCCCATGCGAGAAAACTGGTTCTCTCAAATATACGCCGACAGAGTCTAATGTCTGTCCTTGTGCCTTGTTTATTGTCATTGCGAAACACAGACGTAGGGGGAACTGTGTGCGTGTGTAAGGAACGGGATATTGCTCATCGGTTGGAGGCTCAAATGGTATTCTATGTATGAAAACACTTTTGCAGCAGAACTCACCGACTGCAATTTCTGCATGAATGACATTTTTATCTAGTTTTTTACAAATAAGTTTTGTGCCATTACATAGTCCTTCGGTAGGGTCTAGGTTTCGTAGCAGTATAACCGGCGCATTTTCCTTTAGGCTGAGCCTACAGAGTTCCCCTTTCCCTCATCTATATAGCAGTTAAGGAAGATGAAAGGGAAGCTAGGTCAATTACATCGATAGGATCCCAAGTACCAGGGTCGATCAAAAGTTCAGAACTCACCGACTGCAATTTCTGCATGAATGACATTTTTATCTAGTTTTTTACAAATAAGTCTTGTGCCATTACATAGTCCTTCGGTAGGGTCTAGGTTGCGTAGCAGTATAACCGGCGCATTTTCCTTTAGGCTGAGCCTATACTCTGGTAAACCACTCGGTGTAAGCGAATTGATGAGGTCGCCATATTCAGCCTCATGAGATCGATTTTCAACTCTATCAAAACTCAAGTATTCAACTAAATTTCCTGGAAACTCATTAATAAGCTTCGTGTTTACCTCATCAACAAAACAATTCTTTGTCGTTAAAATGGCTCGATTTATGGATCGACTCACCTCTGTTAAGCTTGCTAGATCTGGATATATGACTTTTATGAGTTCATCCAACGACTCCTCAGCCATAGGGTCATTAATTGCTAGAGGAGCAGGGATCTCTATAAGATCATCTTCAAACGTCTTTTCCTGCCCATTGCCTATTTTTAGAAGTGTCTGAGTAAACAAAGGGTCCAAACGCGCCCTCATATTTTCTGTAAGCTTCAGTTTTTTAAGTAAAGGCCATAAGTATGAGCTAGTTAGACAAGCATCAACAGTTTCTTTCCTACTGCCCCTACGGACCACTTGAAGCACTTGCCTAAAATCGCCTCCAAATACTATGACCTTACCGCCAAAAATTTCAGAACAGCCACAAACGTCTTTAAGCGCAAGATCAAGCGCCTCTATGGCATCTCTTTTAGCCATCGGTGCTTCATCCCAAACAATTAGCACACTCTCCCGAATTAAGGACCCTAAACTACTCTGTTTACTAATACTGCAAGACTTGACATTCGACAAATCAATAGGGATTTTAAACCTTGAATGCGCCGTCCTACCACCGGGTAATATGGACGCAGCAATACCAGATGTTGCAGTGGCCAGGCCTATACAACCTTTTGACCGGACAACTGCAAGCAAGGCCCGGTAAAGAAAGGATTTACCTGTTCCCCAGGTCCATCCACAAAAAAAGCACCGTTTTTCCTATCATCAATGCATTTCATGATCACATCATAAGCTTTTTTTTGTTCTTTATTCAGTAGGTTAACGGTGTTCAAGTCCTCCTCAGAAACAATTATACTTCTCTCAGCATCAACCTCACGAGTATTTTTTTCGGGGCAGAAATCAAAAACAATAGGTAATAAATTGAAAGACCGGATATTCTTACCCATAGATTCCAAAAAATAGCCTACCTGTGCAAGCGCCTTTACTTTTGCCTCTACGGCAGTTAATCTAGTGTCCCTAAAGAAGTCTGCACACAGTTCCCCCTCAAAATTCTCCCCACAATTGTCGTGGATTATTGGGGCATGCGTAAACCAACAGATTCGAAAATAAGCGGCGCATCTCGTAAGGCATTTGATACCGGGAGGCCTCCTGAAGACACAAATCCTGGCTGTTGTCATCCTCTAAGAACCCTCGATGAAGTGTCGCTTCTCTAAAATTCTCAGAATACCTGCCAGTAAAAAACAAAAGATCATCAAAAGACTTAGGACACCGAACTTTTGACAAAAGTAATCTAAGATAATAACGTTCTCCCTCGCTAATATGTACAGTTACTAATCTACCAACACAGTCACGCTTTATTCTTTTTCTCCAACGTCTTTCGGTTGGCAGCCACACAAAATATTTTGGAAATTCTAGATAAGTCAAGTTTTTCTTCTGCGCATATGGATCATTAGCATTCATGTGAAAGAATTCAGTAAGCATAGTTTTCCTGTTATGAGGGTTATTTACATTTCTATGCAGTCTATCATTCTTTTTAAAAGAAATGCGCTGATAGTTCTCCAGATGCACTTGCAAGTGAATTACAGTAGGTTTGATGTCCCCCATATAAAACCTAAATATACGCCAAGCTGCCTCAGGTGGCGATATCCAACGCGCTGTACGATATTGCTCTATCTCATCAACTTCCTGAAAAGGCTTGTCCGAATCCACATGGAACGCAATTTTATCATGCCCCTTGCAAATGTACTTATATATATATTTAACGGCCTTTATTGTTGAACAGACTTCCAAATTCATATGACAATTGAACTTTGAAAGACGATATGGATTATACGGAATTACCCACCTGTTATCCAATTCATGACCCCTAACCTTTACGCGAATGTTATTATTGCGACGCTTGTACTTAGGGTAAGCATCACTTATATGAGCAGTGTAGTCACAAAATTCCTTAGGGTATTTTACATGTTCCTGTTCTTTTCATGCAGGGATTCTTAGGGTTCATCTTACCGGACCATGCAATATATGCTTGATAACCATACTATACAAATGAGGTGAAGTAACACGATCCAGAATTTTGGCGCTAACAATCCTATCGTATTCCTGAGCTGTGTACAATTTAAACTGCGGCTTAAGGATTATAAGAAAGTGCGCATGTGGTAACCCCCTCTTTTGAAATTCAATAGTATAAGTATAGGCAGCCACCTCGCCAAATCTTCTAATTTTGCTCTGAAGATTCTAGCAACTACGTCAGGCCTATTTTGTGATTCATCAGAAGGCAACAACAGGGACTTGATTTCTGGCCAATTAGGATTGCACGTCATAGTCAAAAAAATATCTGGCCTACCAAATTTTTGCACCAGAGTCATTGCATCCATATACCTTCTCTTCATGTTTCTAGGACCACCAATAAAACCGGAGGGCAAATAGATTCTTTGACCAATCATGGATGCCTCTGTTTCACCATTGGCCAAAGAATCTTGTACCCCCGCTAAAACCTCACTTCTTATCTCGACTTGTTGCGACTTATAAAAGTCCAGACGCTGAGATTCAATTTTAACATACATATCTACAATGAATTGCTGGAAAAGTCTACCAAAATGCAGCAAGTAGGATTCATCACCTGAGCGTATTTGTAATTTGTACGCATAATACTCGCGCAACGACACATAGCTGGGATCATCCTGCACAACATCCAAAACTGCAAAAATGAAGAATAAAAAAAGATTACGATGCGCGGATAATTTGCAAATGCAACTTTGAACATGACAAGTTGGTAATCACCATTCTCTTCCCTATGTATTACGTCGATAGCATCAACAGCAGCAAATGGTGAGACTGAATGCACAACCTTACAATTCTGATTGTTGGGTGTTTGAGCGCACATATTTTTTTTTCAATACCCTGATGCCAACCCACCTGCCCAAAAGGAAACATTAAGGGGTATTGTAAAGGGTCATAGCAACCAAAATAATTTTGTACTTTATGTGATAAGCCACCGTTACAGTGCACACGAATATCACGATTGCAGGGCTCTTCATTACCACTGCCATCTACCCACAAAGCTGCCACCTCAGACTCGGTTGGCTGATTAGAGGTTCTTTGATCTAAACCGGGCACAGCGCGCAAGACTATGTGGCAGTCATCTAAATTGGCGATATTTTTTAGGCTTTTGAAAAACCGAGAGTAAGGATTGGCCTCTAGAATTTTGATAACTTGCACTGTTATACTTTCTGTAAGCCTAGGACAGGCCATCAAGCGATTGGACACCTCATTTTCCGTATCATGAAAATAGAGTTGTAAATTATTCGACAAATCTAAATCAGTCAAAAAATGGTACATTTGACCCTGGATTCTATAAGTATAAACACCCTGATTTCTGTGGCTTAACTCCTGATCATACCGCACTCCCAAAGACGTGAATGCAAACTGATTATTTATTGTTCGAATGCAAGTCCTAGAAAATTGTGCATCAACTGTGTTTGAGAAGAGAAGATCTTTTAAAAGTGGTAGTATTGGATGAGAGGCCAATTTAATAGCGTCCTCAGAACAACAAGATTTGATAGTTTCATAAATGATTTTCTTGGCACCACAATACCTGCAATCACGCTGTGTCCGCAGTTCATATGAGCTTGTAGGCACCGCATCTAAAATCCGTCGGCCGTCATTGGGTTGTGTAACTAATATAAAAAAAAAAAAAAAAGGATTAGTCATAGTTTTTCAGTGTGGGGGAAAAACGTTTTAAACTAAACATGACCAAAACATGAACCAACATGGGTAACCTGTGTTAACTGCACGACTTGTTGAAGGGGACTCATCCATTCCACCTTGGGCGGCCGAAATGTGTAAAGTGCTACTATCCTCACCAACAGAATCTCTGCCAGTCTTTTGAGCAGCATCGTGCAAAGCGCTGGGTATTGAATTTTCATGTGCATGTGACTCATCCGATTTCTTGTCAGTGCCATCTCGCATAACAACACCGCCTGCAGAACGGTGTGCCCGTGTGGATTGAGATTGTCCACCACATTCAGCTGGCAACCTTTGCAACACAGACAGGCCAGCTGCAACTGCAAAAGCAAGCAGCATTCAGACTGATAAAACTGTAAATTAGGTGTGCTGTAAAACAGCCGACACGATGAACATCGAAGACGGCAACACACAAGCAAACAACCCATGAAAAAAGTAAATACAACAGACATCTGATAAAAACAAAAGACAAAAGTAAATAAGTAGAAAAAGTACAACAAAACCAACCATGAGCGCGGAAAAAATGACACCAATAAAGTGCCACAGACATGCCCAAAAAATGAATGTATACCTGAACGCGTGACCGGGCAACAGGGACCTGTCGAAGATCCGACATCCACATTTGACCTTTTAGCTTTCTTGGACACCCACCTCTGTAAAGCTGCTTCTCTTTCATGACTATCCACGGGAACGGCATGTGCAGGTTCTGTTGGTCTACGACGGCGCAATGGCAGATCCGTGTATGATAAGACAGTGGCTAAACAAACCGAACCATAAATGTCAATTCACACACACAACTCTTCAATTACAACATAAGCAATAACATCACTGCAGAGCTCATTAAAGAACGCTTAAAAAACACAAAAGGCAGTATAACGTACCAGAGCACGTAATTGCACGACCAGCACCTGATAAAGAAGCAACTTCCGCAGCGGACTGTTTATACTTCTTATCCCTCCACCTCTGTAAACCAGCCTCTCTTTGACGTCGGTTAGTAGAAACATCTTTTGCGATTTGCAATGCTCCGTCGCAGTGCAATGGCAGATCTTCATCGGATGCCATGAACCTAAAAAGCCCCCAATAAAGGTCATTTTACCCAGATTACTTACAATCTCCCAGCAGGCCCCAAAAAATATACAGTAGTACCAAAAAAACATGACATCAACAGACAGAAAAATCACTATTAGAACAAAAAATTAGTGAAACAAGCATCCTTAAATTTAATGAGCACAACCCAAAAAAGAATCAAGGGAAAAAACGGCCTGCATGTCACCAGCATCACACTTTCAATAAGCAGGTCAAATAAAAGCAAAAAAAAAAAAGGGCACGAAATTAAAAACACAACAATGACCTAAACAAAAACAGTCAGGACCCGGATCGAAAATATTTAGGCCTTCGGTACCTTAAAAGCCAACAACTTGTCACAACCGCTAATGACAAAATTTAGGGCTTCGTTACGACTAAATCCAACAATTAATGAAGATCACGTTGTGCAAACCAATGTGACATTTCATAAACTCAACTTTCTTAATATGTAGAAAGATTCAGATTACAAAATTACTCAAAGCATATCAAACATATTAGTTGCATTTATTTTGAGCAAATAAAGTTAACCTCAACAACCAATAATATGAGAAACTCTGCATTATCTCATCACGCCGTGTGTGTGTGTGTCCATAATCATTTCACATTTGTCAAGTAACATGTCCATTTGTAACATGATATCAACAGTAAAATAATAATCAAAGACTTCAGCCTCCAGCAGAAAACATAGAATCGTGCTCCAGATACTTCTCTACATGCAACATATAAACAGTTAAGGCTACAAACAAAATCTGAGATCAACATTAGTGATAAATAATTCTCTCAGCACATGCTAGCAAAATCCACAACATTAAGCCAACATTTCTCGCGACAAATATATAAACCAAATGATAGAAGAAATTAAAGATATATGTCCTCAAATGTACAACTATTTTACACCAATCACGTTGAACATTAAAAAATTAAAAGTATAGAAATCAGCATGTTACAAAATTGAAACCTACTTCACTCGAAAGTGTTCATCTTTGTGCAAAAAAGTAAAGCAAAGCAAAGCAAATACTCACCCCATAAAAGCAAAATTCTGGAAAGGTTCTTCAAAAATATTATATGTGCACACATAAAACTAAAAAATATTCATTAATGAAATAGAGTGATTACCAGACCCACAAAATGTCAAATCTTAATGTAGGAAATAGAGTGATTATAAAAAAAACTACAAAAGTTGAGATCTTGATGAAGGAATATAGTGATCAATAAAACCCACAAAATGTGAAATCCTGAAGAAGAAAATTGAGATTACTGAAGGACAAGAAATCTAATCAGTCAACAGAGGATGGAAGACATCTATGACATACTACGAATAATTAATCAAAGTTTAGCATTCTTTAATGATAGGTAAAATTAAACTAATTAAATCGCAACCCAGGCAAATTAAGCCTAATTAAGCCTGGCTCATGAGAATGCTAAAATAACTTTGCGGCAAATTAAGAATTCTAAAGTTTTTCGAATTATCCCATTAATGCTAAAGTTTTTACCTATTATGAACATTCTTTAATGCTAAACCGCATTGCTGTTTAATGGAAACCGCAACCCGGCAAATTAAGCCTAATTAAACTAAAACACAACAATTATTTTAAGATTCAGCCGCATCAATACTTGCCTGGGGAGTCCGGACCAATATGTGTTGGAAAGAGGCGGTGACCGCTGTGAGTTGTGGGCTCTGGAAGAGACGACGGTAGGTGACCGCTATCAGTTTTGGAGGCAGGGCCGGTGGTGTCCGAGTTACTGCTGGTGGCGCTGCGCTGTAGGTGGTGTGTGGTGGTACGCGGCGTCGACAGGAGCTGCAATTTTGCAGTGTACCAAGGTGGGGAAGCCGACGACCTAGGGTTTTCTTTTGCTTTTTTTCATAGAGAATTGCAAACAGGTTGTAGGGGAGAGAATAGAAAATTTAGATTGCAGAGAGTGAAAGTGAAAGAGAGAAGTGCAAGCAACCATACAGTCAACCCCAATCTCAGGAAATCAAATCATTGTCAGAGCGTGAGGTAAGAACACATAAAATGACCAATACAACCTCAAAAAAGTTGAACAGAGACTCACAACTACAAAGTATATCCAAAGTATATCCAAATGACCTTATTGACCTTCTAAATTAGTTAAAAATACTGCTTCATTTCAATAATTGGCAAATAAAATGCCAAAGTCAATCAGAGAATATCGCCACTTGTTGCCATAGTAAAGATATATATTGTAAACGTAGGCTGCTGCGATAGAGGAGGCATAAAACAAGTAATAAGATTTGCATGAATTTAAGACCAAACTTTTGTTTTTCAAAAAATTAATGGGCGAAAAGGGCGAAATGGGTGAAAAAACCCTCCCAGGTCTCCATTTACATTCCACGCAGTTCGATCCGGAGACGGGCCACCGGACCCATACCTGAAAATTTTCCCTGAGCTGAGGAAAGCCAACCCACCGCAATTGGCTAATTCAAGTTCCTCAAAGAAACCACGCACGCTTAAGCGGACGGGAGGCCCTCTGGAACAACCCACAACTCAGGCGTTTGAGCTGCGTCCACCTGAGGGATCTGACAACAATGCACCTCCTTACCCGATGGCCGCCCCACCGATTGGTAACAAGTTAAGCTTTCGAGATACACTGACGAACAATCGGCCACACGTAGTGCTGGAACCAGAGGAGGAGTATGATTCGGAGGAGGACCCTGATGTGACCATTTACTACAGCCAGACCGAATCGGACATTCAACTATCGAAGTCTTTCAAGGACTCACTTATCAACTCCTGGGATAACGTTATTGTAATCAAACTCTTGGGTTTGAATATGAGTATGCCAATGTTGTACCGGCGTCTACTCACTTTATGGCCTTTCATCCAAGACTGCCCAATGGTGGACTTAGAAAATGGGTACTTCTATGTAAGATTTAAGACCAAGGAAGATGTTGTGAAGGTACTGGTTGATGGACCGTGGGTGGTTAGTAAGCATTACTTGCACGTTCAGCCTTGGACAGAACACTTTGACGAGACGGCTGATCGGATTACCTCTACTGTTGCGTGGATTTGTCTGCCGGGCTTGCCGGTGCACTTGTACCACAAGAAAGTTTTTCGATCGATTGGCCAAATCATTGGGAAAGTAGTCAAATTGGACTACCAGACTGCAACACAAAAAAGGGGTAAGTATGCTAGAATTGCAGTCGTCCTTGACTTGACCAAACCTTTGTGTGCGCACTTCACAATTCAAGGGAAAAAACAGAGAGTGGAATATGAAAGCCTCCCAGATATCTGCTACCGGTGTGGTCGCTATGGTCACCAATCTGTCGCTTGCCCGGAGCATTCAGCAAATCAGGACCAGCCGGAGCTAGCAAAATCCAAATACAAAAAGGTGCAGCCGGAACAAATCCAGAAAAGCCAGAGTCGGACATTGGCAGTGGTTCAACCTATGGCCCTTGGATGCAGGCGCAAAAAGGGGGAAGACCTGGTGGGAGGAGAAAGTCGGGCACTACTGATATGGGAACTAAACAGCAAGGAGGGCTCTTTAATGTGGGGTCTAGGTTCGAGGCCTTAGGGGATATGAGAGAGGGTTACTCGGAGGAGATTACCTTTTCAGCACAGAATAATGCATGTAAAGGGGTAGCCATGAAAGTTTGGAGACCTACTACATCCTTCAAAAAAGGAAGAGGGAAGGCTAAAGTAGGGGAACACTTGGGCCTAGATGGTGACTTGACCAAATCTGGAGTCGTGCCTGAGAAAAATAATCCGAATGAGTCTCGATTGCCATCCCAAATGGGTGGAAAAAATTCGAATGACATGGGTAAGGTGGGTTCATCATGTGGGGCGGAAGAGACACGTGAAGGGGTAAACATGGGTCACCATAGAGATACAAAAAGATCTGAACAGGACGTGGCGAGGGACGAATCACAAATAGACTTAGAGGGGTTGGCTTGCCAGCAGAATACACTTGTTATACCAGTCGTTTCACGCCTTGATCCAACTCACCACACGGCGGTGCGCGTGTTAGAGGACCAACAGGCCCTCGAACAGCCGATTATCCACGACCCGGGAGATACCATGATGGACGAAGTTATTCCGACAACTTATAGACAGCCTCCTTGGCAAACTGAGGAGCAGGAAGTTCACATGGTGCCGGAGACACCTCAGGCCTCCGCACAGCTTTATTCGTGCTAGCTGATAGCACCACCATTTCTTGTGTTTGTTAATGAATATTATGTTTTGGAATGTGAGAGGTGCTGGATCGACGACTTTCAGCCGGACTTTTTCTCTTCTCAAATCGGGTTATGACCCTGATATTGTTGCACTGTTTGAACCAGGGTGAGTGGTAAGAAAGCCGACAAGTTTGTCAAAAAGAGTGGATTTGATCACTCGTTTCGAGTTGAAGCAGTTGGTTTTTCTGGAGGCATATGGATTCTGTGGAAAGATGGAATAGAGCTTACAGTGCTTAAATGCCATAAACAATTTGTGCAGTCCTTGGTGAAGACGGATTCCCTTGAATTTTTGGTAACCTTCGTGTATGCTAGCCCAAATCTGAGAAGTCGAAGGAATCTTTGGTCTACCTTGACTGCCCTAGCTGGAGACATTCAAACCCCATGGATTCTTGGGGGCGACTTTAATAGTACTCTAAGTCCGGCCGAAAAAAGAGGGGCGCACATGGATGTACTTTTGACACGAGTTTCTCAGACTGGTTCTTCCAGAATAACCTTCAGGAAGTCAAGACTGACGGTTTCCGTTTCACATGGTTCGGACCTAACATCGAGAAAAAGCTTGATCGGGTCATTGCAAACGAGCAATGGCTAGATCGTTTTGGTAATGCGAATGTGACGCACCTCCCACGTCATCAATCTGACCATGTTCCTTTGCTACTGAAGTGTGGTCGTAAGCCAGAGATAGTGGGGTCGGGGCCAAAACCTTTCAAATTTCTTGCGCCTTGGCTTCTGTATGACAGTTTTGAAAAACTGATGGCAAGGGCTTGGAACTCACCTGACTATATTT